ACCATTTTTTTTTTTTTTTTTTTTTAGTTTTTTTTTTTTTTTTTTTTTTTTTTTTTTTTTTTTTTTTTTTTTTTTTGGAGAGAGAGAGGAAGGGGGCGGGAGAGAGAGAAACAGTGTGAGAGCAAAACATCCATCAAGCCTCCTGCACACCCTCAGTGGGGGTCAAGCCCCAAACCCAGGCATGTGTCCTGACGGGGAATTGAACCCGGCAACCTTTCTGTGCATGTAACGAGCCACAACAGCCAGGGCCAAATATTTATTGTTTTTGTTTGTTTGTTTGTTTTTAAATATATCTTTATTGATTTCAGAGAGAGGAAGGGAGAGGGAGAGAGAGAGACAGAAACATCAATGATGAGAGAGTCATTGATCGCCTGCAGCCCACGACCCCGGGCATATGCCCTGACTAGGAATCGAACCCCGATCTCCTGGATCCTAGGTCGATGCTCAACCGCTGAGCCACGCCCAGCTGGGCAAATATTTATTGTTAATAAGTTACCGTTATTGAGGGGTACTTTTCTAAGACTACACATTATTTCATTTAAGTCTCCTGACAATACTGCGGTGGAGGTATTGTTGCCATTTCCACTTTACAGGTGAGGAAATGGGCTTAGAGAGCTTGATACTTTCCAAAATACATAGCTAGTTGGAGTTAGACCTAGAAATTTTTTTTTTATTTTTGAATATATCTTTATTGATTTCAGAGAGAGGGAAGGAGAGGAAGAGGGAGAGATAGAGATAGAAACATCAATGACGAGAGAGTCATTGATCGGCTGCCTCCTGCACGCCCCTGACTGGGGATCGAGCCCACAACCCGGGCATGTGCCCTGACTGGGAATCGAACCCCGATCGCCTGGATCCTAGGTTGATGCTCAACCGCTGAGCCACGCCTGGCTGGGCTAGACCTAGAATTTTAACTCAGGTCTGTCTGCTACTTCAAGCCCATATCCTTAATCAACATTATATATTGTTTACCATGTACCAGGCCTTGGGAATTGTATAGTGAATAAGTAAACAAAATAGATAATGTCTTTGTCTTCTCAGAGTTTATTGTATAAGGAGAGAGAAAAACAAGCTGTTAATATTATGTTAAATGCTATGAAGTGAGGAGTACTGCAGAGTGCTGTGATATCACAGGAACAAAACTACCTAAATTTAGGGGGTGGAAGGTTAAGGGAAGATTTCCTAGCGCATTGGATTAACTAAGTTAGTTAGATGGAGCCGGCAGGTTGCTGGTGGAAAGTATCTATCATGGGCTTTAATTCTCTCATAACAAGATTGACTTTTCCATTTGATCATTCACTGTGCTGAATATGGTTATTAATAACTACTTTTTATTGAACATGTACTATATGATAAGCCTTGTACATATATCATATTTTCACATAAGCCCTGCAAAGTTTGTTAGCTACATTTGTACAAAGTGAGACTAAGAGAGGTTAAGTTAATTTGCCTAAAATCTCAGTTATGAAGTGAGCCTGGACTTAACAAGTTTTCTTCAGATTTAAAAGACTTTTGAAAGCTTCTTACTACTAGGACAGACACCATCCAATCTAAGCAAAATATGGCTCTAGCTCTTTATTAGGCTCTCTGCTCTTAGCAATAGGTATATCCCTTCCATGTTCTTAATTCAGATATGTATTTTTAAAGAATATAAAGTTTTTACTATTCTTAATAGGGTGGCTTTTTCCTTCCCTCTCCAATAGCTTCAGCCATTTTTTTTTTTAAATCTTTCTCATACTATACTAAAGTAAGTAGGTGCTTGCTTTAGTGATTATCCTTGTTTTCAGGTGTTTTAAGCCTATTAGAAAGTTTCCTGTTAGCTGCACCATAGTATTGAAACAGATAGGAGCCTTAAAGTCTTACTCCTTTAGCTGTCTTGCTTTTAAAGTATGTAGGAACTAAAAAGGTTTCAAGCTTCGGAAACGTATCTCTTACTAACTGGCAGTTTTCTGTGATTCAGTCTGTCCTTAATCCATTATGAACACTGATTGTTCAAAGAAATAGTAGTTATTCCATAGAGGACTTAAAAAGATTTGTTTAAAATAATAACTAATTAAAATAGCTATTTTAATAACTGGATTTATTAAAGTTTGTTAAGTTTAAAATGTTATTAAATAATAAAACTGAATTAATTTCCCCAAGTAATCATTTGAGGCAGTACTCTCCCTGTTTTCATCTTTTTAAAAATAGATAATTCAGATAGAATTTGAAAAAAAAGAGGTAAAAAGATCTAGGGAAAATCTCATAGGGTTTTAGTTAATTGCAACAAAGGTCTTGCTACCTCTAGGAGACAATCCTGTTTTACCTTTTAAAGAGTGGCAGAATATTGTGCCTTTGTTTGTTGGAGCCACTGGCCACTAGGTGGTGCTTTTTGCATTCTTCATAGCATAAATAAAACAACTTTTTCCTCCGGTGACTGTCGAATATATTGCCTGTAATATTTAGCAAATCAAAAATTTTATTGACAAAGTTTAATGTAGGAAATCAGAATTAATATGTGTCTTCTTGCTGAGGTAGACAAATAACTGTTCAAAGAGGGATGAGTTCATTACTGAATTTGTTGGTACCTACTGAGCTTTAGACTACTTCCCTCCCTTTCATCCTTAGGCTGTTGAGTCAAGTAGTTGATTGCAGTGCTTATAATTAGGTGCTCAGGTTATTTGAGGTCTTTTACATGTAGAACCTCTGGGTTATACTTCTCAGTTCTAAGCTTTGCGTTTTTCATTAGGTGCTTACTTCAGTGTTCTATCTGAAATTGTCTTCTAGATTCTCTAAGGTCCTAAGAAAAATGACTTTATTTACAAGGTTTTCTCTTCCCTCCCCGAAGTCATAATAGAAGAAATTAAAATACTGTTTGAAGTGTCCTTCTTTGGGCTATTTTTCCCCATTCCTGTCTGATATTTCCATTATCTTTAGCACTTGGTGTGTCCAGCCAACTCACCTTAACTTCTATCCTGTATTTAATAAGGAATCTGTATTTTGCAGTTTCTTCACTTTTGTTCTGGTGGCTTTTTAGCATTATCTCGGTTTGGTTCCCTTGTTTAAGGAGGGTTAAACTTATTTTCAGTAATTTTAAATTTGTATGATATGCATATATATATATACACATATATATATGGGGTTTTTTTCATTTTTAATTTTTCAGTTACCGTTGACATGAGATATATTACTTCCAAGTGTATAACATAGTGATTAGACTTTTATATAACTTAAGAAGTGATCACCTTGATAAATCTAGTACCCGTCTGATACCATACATAGTTATTACAGTATTATTGACTATATTCCCTATGCTATACTTTATATCCCCATGACTGTTTTTATAACTGGCAATTTGTACATCTTAATCCCTTTCACTTTTTCATTCATCCCCCCCAACTCCCCACCTATCTTGGCAATCATCAGTTTTTTTCTCTCTGTATCTGTGAGTTTGTTTCTGTTTCGTTCAATTATATTGTGTTTTAGATTCCACATATAAATGAAATCAGATGGTATTTATCTTTCTCTGTCTGACTTATTTCAGTTAGCATAATACTGTCTAGGTCATTATGTACATATATTAAGTTCTCTCATGTTTTTAAAACAGAGTATAGTTTCCTCCTCTGTGGTGGTGAAGTGCTTAAAAAGCCATACAATTAATGCTTTCTTTAACCAATTTATATCATCCAGGAAACCAAAATACTCTTAGGATCCAAGAGGCTAACCTAATATATTTTTGTGGACAATACGGTAGCCTTGTTTAATTATTGCCTGGCCCTGAAGTTGATTGGGGACCATTTACACTTGGCTAAGAAACATAGGTTTTATCCTTAGGTTCCCTAGTGAATCTTAGTCTCTTGATACCTTAAATCAAGGAATAATGCCCATGTCTTTGGAAAAGTTATTTTCTCTGACAGACTGCAGCTTCAGGAATGCTTTGCACTGATCCATTTGAGGGAGGTTGAGGCATTCACCTTGAGAGACATGATGAACCTACATATCATAGGAGTTACATTTACATAGGACATTTTAGAGGTCTAATGGGGATTTGTATTATTTTTCCAGGTGATTAAAGTTGCAATTGTATATTTAGAATTGGCTTAATTTTGTTATAAAAATGAATTAATATTAAAGATTGGCATTTACTTTTTCAAATTAGGTAATAAAATAGACTTGGAAAAGGAGAGACATGTTTCCATTCAAGAGGCAGAATCGTAAGTGTTATCCCTTCCAGCCTCCTGATGACTGCCACGCCCCTCCCTGCCCCCAACAATCCCCAGTAGAAGTCTTCCTCTTAGCACAGTGTGCTTTACGATTTAGATATTACTCAAATATCTTAATATAAATTGACCTGTTGGATTCAGTGAAGCATGTTAACACTGGTAATTTCTAGACTTGTGGCAATATATAAAGATAATCTACTCTCACTTCTCTTTTTGATTTCAGTAAAAAATATAAAGTAATGCAAAAGAAAACTATCATGATCAAATAGTATGTCACAAAAACTTTTAAAATATTTGGGTTCCAAGTTAACTTATAAAAATTTTAAGTCTTGTTAACTTGTGCTCACTTAAAATTTGGTTCAGTGTACAGAGATGTGAAATAGCTATATATAATCTTTTTTATTTTATTATTTATTTATTATTATTTTTTAATTCACCTTTAGAGAGAGAGGAAGGGAGAGGGAGAAAGAGAAACATCAATGTGAGAGTGGAACATCAGTTCGCTGCCTCCTGCATGTCCCCCACTGGGGATTGAACCAGCCATCAAACTGACAGCCTCAGTGCACCAGACAATGCCCAGCCTATTGAGCCATACTGGCCAGGGCTGTAATCTTAATTTTTTAAAATCCGGGCTAATTAGTTACAAGTCATTAAATTTGGTACTATGAAAAATTCTCATAGCAGTCATGACAAAAACATGAAAAATATTTTTTACATTGATCACTGATATTATTTTTTTAAGGTATGCAGAATCTGTGGGAGCAAAACATTATCATACATCAGCCAAACAGAACAAAGGAATTGAGGAACTCTTTCTTGATCTTTGTAAAAGTAAGTATATTCAGATTTAGTATATTTAGAAATGGTTCTTTTAAAACTATTCGTAATGCTTCTAAAGTGATATTTTATATATATGTTTGAAATTTTCCATATTAAAGTTTTTTAAAGAGAGAAAGGAAAATGTTTATATACAACCTGAAAATCATTTCTCATATCACCAATAAAATACATAACATATTTTGGAAAACCCAAATTACAGGATAATGGGTTGAAATTATTTTGTCAAGTTATGTTCCTTGAATTTATGGGTATCAGATTCTTTTGAGAATTTGATGAAACTGGTTTTTCTCTTTAGAAAAATGTACATGTACACAAACTTTGGAGTAAATTTCAGTTCTATGGAAACTAAGTTGTTCATAATTCTTCAAGAGTAATAATTTTCTAAGTGAGGTCCCCTGATCAGCAGCATCAGCATCACTTGAGACTGTGTTAGAAATACTGCAAATTCTTGGGTCCTACCCCAAACCTACTGAATCAAAGTCTCAGAAGGTGGTGCACAGAATCTGTGTTTTAACAATCCCCTCCGTATGATCCTGATACACACTAAAATTTGAGAAGCACTGCTGTACATCCCAATCACTTGGGGATCTTGTTAAAATGGGTCTGGTGTGGAACTGAGCTTCTTATTTCTAACCCAAGTGGTGGTGATGCTGGTCCTCCCTCAGACTGTGCTTTGAGTGCTAAGGCTCTAGATCTGGCTTATAATTGTTTAAATCGCATGTCTTTATTAAAAAAATTGAATATTCCACATATGTTTATTTAAAAATACAGAACATACACAAGTACTAATATATTTTGTACATTATAAAACATAAAAAATAAAAAAGTTTAAAGGTTGAGGAAAACTAAGTAGAACTTAGAATTTGTAATGTTTTCTAATTTTATCTCAGTGGATTGTCCCCACAACCTTAATTTGGAAACCATTCATTGTTAAAGAGCAGTCTCTCAACCCAAATTTAAGAACCCTTGTTCTGTTTTGAGGAATCCTTCTTTTCTTTCCTCATCTTTTCAGATATGTATTTTGCAATTATTTACTCTTACTCTGTATCTTATGTTTATATTTTTCTTAACTGTGTCTCTCAAACAGCAGAAGTTCTACATTTTAATGAGGTCTGATTTATTAGTTTCTCTTATGATTTCTGTTTTTTGTTTCTTATATGAAAAATCTTTGCCTAACTCCAAGTCACAAAGATTTTCTCCTATAGAGATTTCCTGTGTTTTCTTCTAGAAATTCCATGTTTTATGTTTTACATTTAGGTCTATAATTCATTTTCTGTTAATTTTTACATATGGTGAGAAGTATAAATTGAGGTTTATTTTTTACATACAAATGTCCAGTTCCAGTACTGTTTCTTGAAAAGGTTATCCTTCATTGAATAGTTTTGGCACATATGTCAAAAATCAAGTGACCATGTATATGAGGTCTATATCTGGACTCCGTTCCATTGATCTCTGTATTTCTCCTTTCACCAATATCTGTCTTCATTAGGATAGCTTTCTACTGTATCTTTAAATTAGATAGTGTGAGTACTCCAGCTTTGTTGTTCTTCATGTTAAACTTTTATTCTTTTAAATATGCATTACGAGTTGAACAAATCTTGTATCCTAAATATCACTTGTACTTGGAACAATTTGGACTTCTTTGACATATTTCTAAGTATATTTGGAAAATCTTAAGGATTATACTTGTATACAGTCATTTGTTCAGGCCAAAACTTTTTTTCCTCTGTATCTGTGGCCATTATACATCTGGACAAATAAACTTGCTATTAATTTTTTAAACTTGCAAGAAAGGATACAGCTGACAAAATGTTTATTATATTTAGTTTCTTTGTTTAAAGTCAGTAATGGCTGTCATGGTAGTATACTGAAATTATAGAAAGGAAAATTCAAAGATTGTAGTCTGAAATAATTTTTGCTTTCTTCCTCTCTTAGGGATGATAGAAACAGCACAAGTGGATGAGAGAGCAAAAGGCAATGGCTCCAGTCAACCAGGAGCTGCCAGGCGAGGTGTACAGATTATTGATGATGAACCTCAAGTCCAGAGCGGTGGTGGAGGATGCTGTTCTTCTGGATAACTGTTCACATCTAAGAAATTAAACAAACTGTGGATCATTGCCCTCAACATGAAGACTGCCATATTCCAAGTCACATTATTTTACCAATGGAATTATAGAATTAACAGTATTTTAAATTACGTTTATAACACTGCAGAGACCTTAAGTGCTAAACTTAGTGGAGTTTGTGACCAGAGAATTGGCATTTTCTACAAATGTTAACAGAGCAATTACCAATGGCCTTTTTACATATTTTTTTCTTTAATAAGGAATAATATGCATGTGGAAAAGACCTACTTAAAGGCTTCATTTATATTCTTTTAAATCAAATCTTTATTTAATAACTTATATATGTTGTTGGAATGGTATACATTTGCAGCCCTTTGTATTTTGTGGTAGTTTGAATTGTATCACTTCTAAACAGCAAACTGTTTTTGTTTTTGTTTTTTTAATTAGCGGATACCCGAAGTACTATTTTTGCAGGGTTTGCACAGGCCCCTAACTGTCTACTACTTTGATATAATCTATATACATCCTGTATGCTGAGCTGGTAAAATACATTGTAAATTACATATTAAATATTTTATCTGCTTTTACAAGCGCAAGGTGCAAAAATATATACAATAGTCTCATTGATGACTGTAAAATGATTAACATTTGATGATAATGCCTAAGCTTTCTGACTCTGATATATAAAGATCATAGCTCCCTTCACTTTTGTCTTAACTTGAAAGTGACGTGTTTAAATTTCACATATTCTTTACTTGAATTATTGCTGTTGTCACACGTTTTGGCCTCTGTAAGTCCATCTGATGATTGAACAGCAGCATTTGCCTTTTGGTTTGGATTGTGGTTGTGTGTGTGTGTGTATGTGTATGTGTGTGTGTGTGTGTTTGTGTTTGTTTTTATAAAAGAGAGGACTTCTGCCAATTTTGCTTTGGAATGGTTATCTTAGAAAATATTTGAGTGGAGCATGCTGAGTTTCACTTCTTCAACAGTTTTAGTTTTCTCTTACGCTTCATATGAGATAGTTTCACTGGTGTGAGAAGAGAGGAAGAGGTCCCACCCGGATAGTAGCTACTCACCAAGTGCTACTATTCATGCAGCATGTTAGTGGTAGTTTATGTTCCTGAGGCAGCACTTTTTAGATCCTTTGTGAGCAAGTTATATTTGTTTAATGCTTGCCAGAGATGAACACAAAAAGTTTTGTTTAATTTTGTTAAGAGCTGTTCTGAGTTTCTGTGAAGGGAAACATTTCATGTAATGCAGTTACAGCGAACACTGGAAAGATTTATTATAAAATTATATTCTTTATACTTTGTAAATTAGTCTTTCATTAGATTTTTTTTCATTAAGTATAGGACTGGACTTAAATTTGTTAATTTTAGTAGAATCAGTCACTGCTCACAGAAGGAACACAAATTGTAGAAATTAACAAATTGTTCTTGTTCTAATACATATATTTTTCCATTTCTGTCATGCTTGGAAAACTAGTAAATGTTATGTCTAAGATAAAATGGAATGGTCCCTGGATTTACTTCTTATAAAAGAAGTAGTAATATGCAATAAAGTTGTTAGCATGAGCAATTAAGAGGATATAAAGATATACTACCATTTTTAAGTTACAAGCTTGAGCTCTCCCAAATGGGTTAAAAGTTGAATGAATTGACCCCTTGATTTTATGATGTTAAAATTTTAACTTCATATTAAGGGTTCTGTGAGCCCTCACTTTACCTTTTTTAATTATTGTCTTTGCCATACTCCACTCATTGACCTCTGTTGTGTGTGTTTGGGAGGGTAGAGCGGGAAAAGTCCAGGAGATAAGCTAAAATTGTCTTTGGTGACTGTACTCTGTGTAGTTTCTTGTTTTCCTGTGAAGTTGGTGTTTATGCAGGGCGTTGGGAAGGCAGGGGGAATCATGCATACCATAGAGGAAAATTGTTTTGGCCTTCTTTCAGAGGTAATAAAGCCTTGCCATTTCTATTGTTGTAGATGTAGATGTGAAATAAGCTCTTTTCCATTGGAGTGAAATAGGTTTTTTAAACTAGAGATGAAATTGAGCTTTATTCCAAAAAAATAAAGTGATAAAGCCTGATAATGGAGAGCTGTACTCTGAATTTTGACCCTATAAAAGTCCAGCTAGGAACCTCTGCTCCGGAGTTGCCAGATCGTTATTGGTGGGCTACAACTGTTCTCCCTGTTTTGTTTTGTTTTTTGTTTTTCCTCTATTCTCCCTTGGTTTCTGTGTAGCTTTCTTAACCTCAAGCATTTTATTTATTTTTTTAATCTATAATTTAAGTTAATTCAATAGCAACAATATAGTACATATACCTGTCCTTGCTCTGAAGCTCCAAAGGTCTTTAGGTAGGAAACAAGGTGAAAGGGTAATGAAAGAAGACCGATTAGTTGTAGTATGTATACAAAGGAAAGATAAAGAGGTGATAGACCAAGGCTAAGGAAGTTTTTCTGATACTTTCTTCACATCTTAATACATCTTTTGTGTTCCTATCCTTATAATTGTGCTATTAGGAAGAAGACCCAGGTTACCATGTTGTGTATTAAAAGTGGTAGGTAGATAGAACCGATATATTTTTCAAATAGTAAGTGTATATACTTAGTATATATAATTAAAAATTGGCTTAAGATAGTCATTAAAAATATCTGCATATTGTGTTAAAAGTAAACAATTATTTCTATAATGATGGCTATTCTGTTCCTTGTTTTGCTTTGTGATTATAGAGGAAGATTTTTTAAATGTAGATTGCAACAATTTTTGGATAAATAGTAATCTAAAAAGAAAAAAGCATATTATTGGATAAATATGAGTGAATTTGTTCTGTTCTAGGGATGTCTCCTGAAAATACCCTAAATCTATGGCTGTTACAGCTAAATTAAACCATTTCTTAATGTTAGCCATATATTATTAGTGATTACTTTTAATTTGGCCTTAAAGTAAGAAAGAGGAATGATACTCATTTTTAGATTTTCAGTAAGAAAATACAAAATTTGTGAACTAGGGAATGGGGGTAGCGAGGAGTAGAATGGAAGTCAGGTAGATGTAAAACTCTACAGTCTGACAGTTTGTAAAAGCATTTGGAAAAATACATTACTTTTATCATATAGTTCCTAAATAAGGCAAGCTGTGCATTGTGCCAAATATTTAGAACATTAAAAAAATGAATCGTGATACTATTTCTTTAATACATAATTTGCAACTTTCTATATTATAAATGCTACCAAGAGTCCAGATCATTTATATTATCTCCATATAGTACAATTTTCCCTTGTATTTACCATTTATCTCTAGAAGTGGTTTGATCTGTCCCTTTAACTTTTTTAATTTAACCTTTGTTTGTCATTATAATTTCCATAGGTTCTTTATAGATACAGTGTAACAGAGGAAATACTTACTTGGAGGCTGTGTAAGATGTTGGGATCTTCCACAAGAGAGTGTAGATAGTAGTGACCAGCAATAGCCTTACAATAATGTCTAAAGATACAGAGATTGAATAGATCCTTAAGTAGTATTTTCTAAATTACAAAATGCATTACTTAGATTTTAATAATTAAAAGCTGGTATTCATTGAACATATACATTTACTTAATTTTATAATAGGCATGAATTCTAGTATGTTCTGTAATTTTTAATCAACTAAAACAGTAATGTATTTGGTGATGTGGGCCAAAATTCATGCTACATATGTCTGACTTTGATGGGTTTTCCCTTTTCAAGATCACAAATTAATCACAATTGGGCAAATGTTCTTAAATGTAAATATTCTAGTATTAACCATATGTCATGAAAAAAAACTATAAATACTAAGAGTTTCCAATATCAAACAAAAATGCTTCACATGAAAAAAAATTATAAATACTCCTAAGAGTTTCCAATATCAAACAAAAATGCTTCACTTCTAAACAAGTATCACCTTAATATCTTGGTAGACCTTTAGCACTACTTGTACTAGCTGGAATTTATATACAGGGTGTCCCAAAAACATTTATATGCACTTTGAATGATTATAAAGTCAGTGTTTATTAACATACAGTTCATTTTCAAAATTTAAAAGAATCTACAGAAATGAATAATTTTTTTGTCAATGCCTTTTTTCAAATTGATGACCGTTCTGGTCCAGGCCCTGCTGATAATGTGAAGCAATGGAATCACAAACATCAAGAATAATTTTGTTCCGTATTTGTGCGCCCTCAATTCGTCAACTGTCATTGGTTTTGTACAGTAAACTTTATCTTTTATGTATCCCCATAAAAATAAGTCTAGTGGCACTTCAGGATAAATTTTCTTTGTTCAAAGCGTAGTCTGGTGTCACCTATTATTTCAAATCAGTTAAACGTGAAAAGGAATGAAAATTGAGTTATCAGCTGTTAAAGTGTTTATACATCTTTTGGGGAACACCCTGTATTCTTTCTTTTCTGAGAAACTGAGTGTGCTTTTGAATATTAACCTTTCTACTGCAACATTTTCTCTGCAGCAGACAAATGAGCATCGCAAGTTAATGTTACATGGTACACCCGGCAAGAAAGCATCTTGCCTTCTTCAGAAGCCTGCACATACTTCCAAATGCATCACATTAAGACCAAAAGATGGGCTTGCCTACTTAAATGACCTTTATTTCCACTGTATCAGTTCTTACCTTGATTTTGATACTTCCTGGCAGCTGTATCACTTCTTCATTATCAAATGCTCAAGAAAAAGCTAATATGATTTCCTAACATTTGAGCTTGTGCACAGCAATAAGAGAAAGCTTGGGGATAGCAGGGATAAAGTATGATAATGTTGAAAAATAGACAACAGTGGAACTTGCTAAACTGTATCTTCAGTAACAAGCTACTTTAAGGAAACCATTGTATGTAGTACTTCCTAGAAACGTAAAGTTCTAGGAAAGCTCTTCATTTTGTATTTAAGTATATTCTAGGAAAAAGAATATAGATATTGTGAATGTGCCCCTTGGGAACCCCCCCCCCATGGTCACTCTTGCTCTCTAATATACACTTTTCAATTACCTTTTTGCTATGTGTTTATATACATATATACCTATAGAAATACATAGTTTTGTGGGATTTAAATTTTTACATAAATTGTTCTTACTATGCATACGTTTTGCAACTTGCTTTTTCTCTTACCAACATGCCTAGGAGCTTTTATGTCAGTATAACAGACTTTCATTTTATTTTCTCCCATATCTCTTTGGGCATGTTTTGCCTTTTTTAATAACCTCTGACCATGAAACCTCCGAAAAGATATCTGGTCAGTTTGGTGGATTTCATTAGAATAATAAAATTCTAATGCAAACCAGTGCTTGCTTAGAATTAGAGTCTGTGTTACGTGTGTGGATCAGGAATCTAGAAAGGCATCTGCTTACAATTTGAAGTACATTGTTTTGGACTACTGTTGACTGATTAATATATAAAATTCAAGGAGTTAATTTTAGCAGATTAGAATAGGTTTTTGAGGGAAGAAGGAAAAAGAGGGAAGGTATAGTTGGTAGGGGGAAAGTACAGCATAAACTAAAACAAATCTATATACAACTTTGAGTAGTGATGTCACACAATACTGCATGCTTCCAAGTTTAAACTTCCGTTTGTGCCTTTACTATAGAGTAAAAAATGGAAGTTCCTTTTCAGATCTCGCTTTCCCCACCATCCTGCATACCTCTAGAGGTAATCATTGCTAACAATTTAGGGTGTGTTTGTACCTCTATTATATATAAACATTTTTATTTATATTTGACCTCTTTACATTTCAGTTCTCTGAAAGCAACTTTTTTACCCTATGTCAAATTCCATCCTCAATCAACTGACCAATTTATTGAGAACAATCCAGAATCCCACCTTAAAGAAAGTTAAATCAGTGGTGAGTTCTTAAACTAGAAATTGACTCTTAAGATGTTTTATGTTTATGATAAATTAAGCTTAAAAAAGTAACTATAGCATTCTGGGAAAGTCAGGTTATCGGTTTCTATCCCCTGTGGCAATAGGGCTGAGAAAGAGGGGTGTGCAAGTCCAAGCTCCTTAATACCCAGGTAATTTTGGGTTGGGCTTACTCTCTCGGCCTCTTGTCCTACTTAGGGAGCATTGCAGTGCACCCAGCAATTACTTTAGGTACTTCTCTGGCAGTCAGTAGCTTAGCTTGTTAGCGCCATGACAGTTAAACGTGTACCCCAGCACAACAAATTTGTTCATATCTGACTTTTAATGAAAGCAATTCAGAGAGCAATTGCAGCACAACTTGCCATGACTTTGTTAATAATTTCCAGAGGGTCTTTCAAAAAATTTAAAACATTCTGCTTATTGTGACTGTTCTACCAATTTCATTCATTTATTGAATGCCTGCTGTGTGCCCTTTATAGTTAAAGCTTAAAATTAGGGAACCATTGCCCATACTCCACGATGTAAGTAGTTTATCTGTGGATATGAGGTCAACTAATCAGGCATGGTCACATTCTGTATTGATCAGATATGTACCAGTGAAATTTGGGGGCGTAATTAGAATGACAGTGGTTGAAATTGATAGTGGAAGTTGAGGTAAAGCTGGATAGAATAATTTTGAGTCTTGCAAATAATTTTCAAGCCAGATTAAAATAGAATAACTTGTTTTCTAGCTTCAAGGGGAAAAGGCAATTTAAGTGATCGCAAGCCCAAATTGCTTTTCCAAATTTGTGGTTAGTGAAGAAACAGATGCCTCGTGCTTATTTAGACAGCTGCTCTTTTTTTATTTTAACCTAGAAAAAGTGCATTTTAAAAAGCAATTGTATTGTTTATTTTGCCTTTGACAGATGTTTTCTTTGCCTTGTCACCAGACAGTAACCCAGGAAACCATTAATGAGTCATAGTAGGCCTGTTTGGAGAGTATAACAGTGTAATTTGTGAATTTCTAAGTACACTTTCCAATTTGGGAGTATGGGTCTTTTCCTACCTAAAATTGAAGGCAGGTCAGAAAGACAGCTTAACGAATATCTGAATTTTCTGCTAATCTTTCCAGTAAGTTTTAAGCTTATATTTTTAATTATAGTATATATCAAAGGTAACATCTAGATCCCTACTTGACCCTTTTGGAGAGAAAATGAGTGAAATCATCGGTTTCTAAGCTATTCCATGAGCCAGTTTTCAAGAAGTAACTTCTGTTTATCTGCA